TGAATGTGTTGTATGCACGGGCCTTCACATCGGATCATCAAGTAAGAGTAACATATTGCTGAGGCCGTGTTCGTACTGTGCTTGTGTGGAGAATATGCGATTAGATACGGTGTGCGAGTCGGAAATATCGGCAACAAAGGAATCTGTACGTTTCGATCAGGAGAATTCGCGACTTTGGACAATGCGCGCCAAAAAAATCAGATGAGAACCGATTAATCTTACATTTGACATAGAATCAGTCCAAACGGCGAGATACTTGTACCTTCCTTTGCTTACATTTTTTCCCAAATTGTGGACTCTCCACATTCGCAAACGCTATCTAATTGCTTCTTTCTTGTGAATGAAATGTCGCATTTCGGCATCGGAGGGATATATATACCGTTTTCACTTTAAATTCACCCCTTTTCAAACCAAATTCCAGCCTTTTTTCAAACCAAATTCACCCTTTTTCAAACCAAATTCACCCACCTTCCAAATCGAATTCGCCCACCTTCCAAATCAAATTCACCCCACTTATTAGGCTGCGCAAGTCAATCTACCAAATCACGGGGCTTGAGCCGGACGCTACTGCGGGCCCGCCTCTCGGCACGCCCCAGATTGCTTTTTGCGGATTTGTTTTTTTTTTTCCCCAAATTATTGCATTTTTTTGGACGCTGCGTGAAGCCCCACCGCAGTATGGAAGGCTTCCCGCCCATTTGCAGCAAGCTGCCGCCCACTTTTCAAAAATGATGCAAGTCGACAGTATAAGGTCTTGGCTTTCATGCTAGGGTCTCGTTCGTCACTCGGAACAAGAAAATCAGGCAAAGTTTGTTCCGAGTGACGAACGAGACCCTAGCATGAAAGCCAAGACCTTATACTGCCGACTTGCATCATTTTTGAAAAGTGGGCGGAGCTTCTCCAAAGTGGGCGGAGCCTCTCATACTGGGCGGGGCTTCACGCAGCAGTCCAAAAATGCAATAATTTTGAAAAAATATCAAAATTCCGCAAAAAGCAAGTGGGCGTGGCCGAGGGGGCGGGGCCCGCAGTAGCGTCCGGCGTGATTTGGTAGATGACTTGCGCAGCCTAATAAGTGTGGTGAATTTGATTTGGAAGGTGGGCGAATTCGATTTGGAAGGTGGGTGAATTTGGTTTGAAAAGGGTGAATTTGGTTTGAAAAGGGTGAATTTAAAGTGAAAATGGTATATATCTCCTTATCCCTGAGCCAGAGTAGGCGTGGCATTTGAACATGGCACGGAACTGGTTACTCGTGGAATATTCCAATCTGGGACAACTGTCATCTTGTTCTGTGTTGGACAGAGACACGACAACAGTTGTGTCAAGATGAAATATCCCAGTCAAGCATCGCTTCCTGTTCAATATTGAATCTGTCGCAGATCGGACGCAAACGTTCAGGACGGCTGAAAAGGGGGTTGTCACCAGCGTGTGAATCATTGGATGCACCACTGCTGCGATAAAGGCAATCGTGGAACATACAATGTGTTCTCGGTGTCGATGAATATAACTTTACCACCGCGATAGTTTCCATTTGGCAGCTGGCAAGTGGCTAAAGAGATATCGTAGTATATGGGATACGTCAGTAGATAACAGAGATTAGTATAACGGCAAACAAATATTAGATTGGCGGGAAATTTCTGTCATACTTTTTTGAACCCAAAATATTTGTCTATTACCTGAAGAGCGTTAACCGGTAATGTGAGCACTTATACATCAAAGAATGGTCTTTCTATTAGTATCACTGGCTTGACTCCTGCTTCTCCTTATTCTGCAATATGGACAAGAATGTTATCCGCTACCTTCGGCACCGACCCCTTCAAGCGCTTCCTCAAACTCTTTCTTCTACCACCCTGGCGCCAGCATGACAGCTGTCGATGCCGAAATAATGGAGCTGCATAAGGACGATGTCTACATTATCAGACAATCTTCCACGACGCTAATGCTTCAGAAGCGGAGCCTACAGTTTGATGACGAAGTGAGGTTTGGGTGTACCTGTGAACTCAGCTTGAGGGAGCTGTGGGTCGGGAAACTGCTGGATGAAGAAGCTGCTTCCTCGGTCAATCCGTACGCAAAGCAGCTACGAGATCTGAAGCGGACCGTCGATCAGAGGACTCGTCCGCACAGTTCGTCTTCAACGTGATGGTGCAGCCCACACCGTCCAAAAAAGGTCGAGCCAAACCTCATACAAAAGAGCTGGATGGCTCTCTCTTTGTGTTGGTTCCCGTACTTAACCGTTATATGGATGAGAAAACCTCCACGAAGCGAGCCCACGTCAAAATTGAGATGATGTCCAACTTACTGCATCGCGCCGGCCTGCATTGTGAAACGATGGCATCCACGAAATACTCAAAAACTGGCAAGGATCCCGCAATAACATTGCTATATAATTTTGATCTCCTACGCTTCTCAATAAAAAGAAAGCCCAATTTAAAAACTGGAAAAAAAAAGTGCAGAAGCTTTTTCGCCACGTAAAAATATTTGACAAGTAAAGAAAATTATAAACGCAAATCAAGCCTACCAGAATAGAAAATATAGTGCGCCAATGAGTATCCCCCCAAACATCTGTGAACTCACCACACAATGTATGAGATAGCTGTGTTTTTCCCGTGCGGAACTCTCCAAAAACCTCAGTGATACTCTGGCTCTCAATACCACCACCAAGCAATTTGTCGAATTCAGAACTTCCCGTCGAAATTTTGAAACACTGCTTACGTCGAGCGCAAACTTCCAAAGCAGTTATGAATCCATTTTTCTGAAACATGGAAATTCTTATTTAAAACTTGTACAGAAGAAAAACGGGAAGAGAAGCGACCACGTGCTTGACCCGAGAACCTACCAGTATCTTGCATGCGGCTTCCTTAATTTTATCCACTTTTGCCTCGGAGAGCCCTTTCACTTCTGCTAATCGTTTCTTGGTTGTCATCATCACGCCCTTCACAGTGCAAATGCCGACGGTTTGCAGTTTTTTGATATCGGCCATGTTCTGAGTGTTGATAGTAATCAAAACGCAATTATTTACAACCATTTGCTTGGAGCGGACGTCTCATAAAAATGTTCTATCTCAAGCAAACTGTACATACGATTCCGTGGTTTTGTAGTTGCTCGACATCTTGGAAGAACTCGACCTGTAAATCATGTCCTAGATTTACTATCGTCAAAACAAATATACTGCTATGGCTGCGCTCATACCTTGCGATGTGCTGTTGTATTGTATACTGTATTGTGCTCTGGAGCACGGCTAATCGTTGCACAAAATGCCGAACGTGCGCTCTACCATCCGTCGGGTCCTAATTTCAGTGGTGGATTTCAGATCTTTCAACAGCATTATCAAGTGGTTCTCCCGCTAAGCTTGGCATTGAACCTCCTCTTTGTCGGCATGTCTGTAGTTGCCTGGTTATATGCACGGCCGCATATAACGGTGCTCTTGTCCGAACACGCAATCCACTAAATGTGGTGCTACACTCTTTCGAAGAAACGCTTAACTGCAACTACGAAAGAAAGTGGAGCTCCCGTGTCTCTTCATCCCACTTTTATGTTTTAGTTGTTGAAAACTCCAGCATCTCTTACTCGCCCTGGCGTCCCACGTCGAAGGCTAGAATTCGGTAGTGGCAGTCTACCAAAGCGAGTAGGATGATGGAAAAATTTTTCTTATAATTGAAGTAAGTGCTGCAGGAGTGAGCCGGCTTCTGCAATGCTTGAATTTATTGCGCAGTGATCTTCATGCGATCAGCGATATAAGAATCCATAGACAGTGATTTAGAACAGTGTGAGATAGTGTTCCTTCGTAAAAGTTATCACCGTTCCTTATCGCGTCCGCAACTTCGTAAACAATCTGACTGGTTGTTGACTTCACAAAGTTCGTCTTTGGCTAAGGGCGGAACTAATATCCGTGCCAACAAATCTTGAACTTTAGACGTAAAGTTCAAGATGAAGCGATGTTCCACTGAACCAAACCATCACCTTATAATAAACAGTGGCTGGCCTCCGCAGATGGGCGATGTGCTCGTAGAGATTCTTAAATTCTGACGGAGCGCCTCATGTAGGGCGTGAAGTTACTAACATCACACACAGCGAGGTACTCGTGGAGTACCTCGCTACGTAACCTGGACTCAAGGAAGAGTATGTGCTCCGGTTCGACTGCTTAGAAGTTCTGATATGCCCGCTCCAATGCGGCCAAAGCGTTAACCACTGCAGAAAGGTCTTGCTGAGCCATATCTCCAAACACACTTGATTCTTTGATTTCTTTGATAGTTACTTCCGTTTTCAGATTGCTCTTCTACTGAATAAGAATGCGAGCGACGTCTTTGATGTATGAATAAGCTACGAATTATACTAGTTGAGTTCGTAGATTAATAGCCCAACATTTTTCTACATTTTTTCAGGAGCGTGGTCCCCTTCATCTTTTCACATCTGCTTTGCATATAAAAAAGATATGTTAGTGCTAACGTTGTTTAGCGGGGTCAATCTTTTCATGGGCAGGATCATCATTGAGGGACCCTTGTTGACACAAATTTTCCCCTCCTCTTCTTCGAACTTTCGCATCCACTCTTCCATTTTCCGTTTCGGGAACACAGTTACACGCAACTCGACTGGCTCACATTAAGCTAATTTGAGCAGCATCCTTATCCCGTAAGGAGCCCGAGTTTTATATATTAGTGGTGGTTTCAGTCACACAGTCACAGTGCTTCTCCTAATTACTCTACGTTTGTTTCTGAAGCACATTTTCAACAAGCAGCTGAAAGCATAACCTTCAAAAGATTACGGGCCATGATCGTAGCCTCTTTCTTTCTTCGCTGCTCCTTTGTATCGTCTCGTCCAGCAGATATATGTGTCCACGCTAAAGTACGTTAGCTTCGATGTTTCTTTGTTAATGGTTTTTTGATTACGTGTTTTGTTCACTTCATTTGAGTTGCGATGAGACAAAACACAGGGAGAGGAAATTTATCACACCATGATAAGTCTTTTATGCATTTATAAATCACCAGTCACGGGAAAGGACACAGTAGTGGTCCCTTAATCGTTCTGTTGTTGTGTTAGAGGACATAATTATCAATTATAAATCATTATCAATCTTCCCAACCAATAGTCCTCACTCTCAGTCCGCGGCCTCATGCTCGTCGGGGCCAATCCTTGCTCCTGCTTCGGCTTCTCCTCCTCGGTAGATCACGGCTCCTGCTTCTCGATCGATTCACGACTCCTACTTCACCATCGACGGTGTCACTGCACCTCACGCCGTAAACTTCTTACCGCCGTCCACAGCGCTTTACTGCGCTGCGGACGGCGCCTTCTTCCTCGTGACGGCGGGGCTGGAGCTCCCGGCTGCACGGGCATAGCAGCCATCACGGGAACTCCCTCCGCCCAACTCGACACCCCTGACTCTGGAGGCCGGGCCGGCTGCTGTACGTTGATGCACGGGGGCGGAGTAAAGGGGCTTGTCCCGTTTCCCCTGCTGCCGCGGTAGTTGGTAGAGCGAATATAACTGAGGGACCACACCAATCCATCCTTCTTTTATGAGCGGTGATAACATTTGTTTTTGTTTTCCTCTTTTCATCTGATCCGCATGGGTTTTTCTCACTGCTGAAATGAACATCATAGGTGCTGGAGCCTGAAATTTTGAACACAATTCCAGGTATCCACAGGT